TCTGAAAATGTTTCCACTGCAGGGCCATCATACCTGTGGAGTCTTCCGTGGTGATACCACCGTAGAATACCGCATGTGGCGTCATAATAACTGACTGCAGGACCGCCGGCTCTATGACGGGCGCCGTTGAGGTAGTACTCTATGCTACCCCGTCCTATCCAAGCAGGTTCATTGACGCGATGAAGGCGACCTCCATAGCACCAGGCGGACACTCCCCTACTATCAACAAGAGCTGGTCCGTCCTCCCGATGGAGTCTACCATCGACGTGCCAAATTTCTTGCTGCGCGTTTTGATCTGCCAACTCCACAACAGTTCTTATTGGCGTCCGCCTTTCTATTAGTAAAGGACCCGTGGTGAGAGACCACGACCGGTCGTCCACGTCTACACCGAATGTATCAGCCATATCTATTTACTGAGAATAATGTAACAACTCCTCCACAAACGCTTCTACAACTGACGTCTTCTTCATCCTGGTTTTTTCCTCTTGGTGGTTTTGGATAAGAGTTGAAAAGTCCAAAAGGTCAACTGATGACCTTTGCGTTACTTGGTATGATTGGGTTTTAGCGGGTGATGTCGGTATGCAGCTGGGGAGCGGATTCGACAGGAAGAAGGTAAAGGTCTTGCTTTGCGGTTCACACCTTCACTTCAGTATCATTATCCTGAAAAACAGTCTGTAGAAATGACGTTCACGTGTCATTGCGGTGTTCGCCTTACAGGGGTAATACCCCTGTTTCAGCACCTGAGGCGGTGCGTCAAGCGCCGCCTCTTTCTTATCATATATTGTGATACTTGGTAAGTGTGCAGTGCTCCTAGCTCTCTCCCCCAACAAAAGAGCTCTATGACACTGTGCTTTCTGCGGTTTTTTCGTTTTTACAGTGGAGAAAGGCTGGTGGGAGGCCAAGCCGTGGCCGCACACCTGGCGGGTGCGGCCCATCGAGCCCGTTACTGGGAGGGCCGGCAGGTCGGGCTGCTGTTGCAGTCCGACTACCGGGACGCCATGGAGCGTATCAGGACCCTGTAAGTAAGCACTGCTCTGTCTACATGTATACTTATCCCCCTCGTTATAGCGATACTTACTTGTTTCGTATCCTCTTGTCTTACCCTGCTTCCGTATTCGTGACACTAATAGTGTTTGTGTGCGCTCATGCTTGGTTTTACAGATGATGATGATGTATGTATGAAGGTCTGGAGCTAGCTGCCGTCTTCGGGATGTGCCATTTGTTTTCAAAATTATTTGTAAGTACTTGTAACAGGCGTAGTGTAGTAACTGTGTGTGTAGTGTAGTAACAGTGCAGTCGTAATGTGTTTTGTGATGGTCCTGAGCGGTCGTAATGTGTTGGGCTACTGAAGTACACTGCATGAAGGGGTATGTGTGGGTGCTTCGACACATTCTCGTGCTTCCTAAACCCTAGATACGTGTATAGCACTATAACCTAGATGTGTGTGTGTGTTTGTGTGTGTGTGTGTGTGTGTGTGTGTCCGCGCATGCGTGCGTGTGCGTGCATTGTGTTCTCTTCTACAGACTCATCCAAGTCCATTTAAATAAAAGTGTATTATAGTAAACAGTATTGTGTTTTGTTACAGTGAATATGTGGGGAATGGTGGACATGCCTTAGTGTGACTGGATACCCGCGGGTTGTGACTCTTTGCTGGTCACTCTGGATTCTCCAGTATAAATTCGGTGCAGGGCAGAGGGGATTTGTGGTGCGTAGCAACACTGCTTCACTGTGACACCCCTTCAATAATTGTTTTGATGCATGATACTCCGGGCGTAGCCGGTTGATTCTAACTGAATTCCGATCAAAATAGAAATATGCATCTAATGTACCTGCATGGATAGTAGGCATTTCCCTAATCGGCCGGGCGAAAAATTCACCGAAAACAGTGGTTTTGAAGAAATTACCCATCTTTTCGCCGAATGTTCAAAAATTCGCATGTTGAATTCGCCGAAAACCGATGTTTCAGTGCTTCTACAGGGTGTATGTAAATGTACATGACGTAATGGGAACGGTGACTTCAAGTACTATGTTGAGCCGAATTCTGATCCTGGGGCTCATAATATGGCCGAATTTGAACATTCTCTTAACCGATCGAAAAGCCGATTAGGCATGCTCTGCATGGGCAACTTGTCAATCAGTGCACATCGACGATGTGCGAATAAAACGAATGCACGGAACGTGAACTTGTTTGCTGCACATCTACGAAGTGCGAATCAGGGAGTAGTATAATGACACGTGTACTAGTACACCTTGTGTTGCACTGCATCTTTTCCACACGCATAGGACCACTGAAGGTCACATGCTCCGCGTGCGTATGCGCGCATGCGCAATATGTCATTCGCTGCATGCAATGCACATCTATGATGTGCGAATCAGGGAATAGTACGTATTTTACTACTCCCTGGTGCGAATGCACCGAACGTGCACAAGTGCACATTCGCCATCAATGGCGAAAAGAACCTTTATGGCACATTTATGACATGGCAGGGCCAAAGGTCGAACCCTGGGGGAGTCCCGGGGCCAGACCAAGCGCGCCCGACACAGTGTGCCTTATTTAACCCAAAGGTCAAAGGTCAAACCCTGGGGGAAGTCCCGGGGCCAGACCAAGCACGACCGACACAGTGTGCCTTATTTGGACCAAAGGTCAAAGGTCAAAAAGTGGCCCAGAACCCGCCCCGCACTAACTACTTAAGGTCTACACTCACCAGTGATTCTTTATCTCACATCTATCAGACATACATACTACCTATATTCTCATACATGCAGGCACAGTGGGTTGGTCAAAGACCATGATTGAGATACGAGAGGTACCTGGTTCAAGTCCTGCCTGGGAGCGGTTTTTCCAGCCGTGCTGCTACCCACAGTCAACTGGGAACTTGTGGCCAGGCACAAGGGGTACATGGATGCAGCTAATGGGGTCGCTTTCGGCACTTGTGCCAGTGGTTGTGAGACTTACCCACTCACCCCCACCGTTAGGCGCTGCATCTGCCGCTAGGGTTTATCGGGTGTTAGCGGCCGTCGTGAGTTCCCTTCGGGAACGGATACGATAATTTACTTACTTACTTATATTCTCATATGCGAGCAATGCTCTCACACCGTTGTCACACACTTCCCTTGACAGGCTAGAACGACTCCAGCGGAAAGCCGCCAGAATATGTCTCCACCTTCCCCTTTACACACACTTAGAACACTCCCACCTTTTGCATCGCATCAAATGGCCAACATTATTTTCACGCTTTAAAGTTAAACATATACTCTTCGCGCATTCTCTGCGCCACAATTATGCCCCACCACATATACTCTCGCTGCATACTGCTAGCAACGTGCAACCTTCGTATAATTTACGTCGCTCTCGTACTTGGCACTTGCCAACTCCGCGGACTGACCGCTGTCTCCATTCTCCCCTGTACAAGGCCCTTCATTACTTTAATTGCCTGCCCACCCAGCTTCGCGAAATCCCTTCTCGTACTCCCTTCAAATCCGAGATATCCCTGCTATTGCACAACTCTGTATGCTCGTGTAGCGACCACCCCTGCCCGTACACTTAAGTACGCAACTCTTTATGCTCGTGTGGCGACCACCCCTGCCCGACGAGTGCCCGTACATTTAAGTAGTCATTAACCCCTAGGCCCTGCCCACCCAATTCTTCCTCACTCTTTCTCCTTTCTTACACTATTATCTCTTATTGGCCACTGGCTATCGTGAGAATAAAGATTTGAAACAACAACAACAACAACAACAACAACAACAACAACAACAACAACAACAACAACAACCCACAGCTAGGGATGCAGGGAAGCATGTTGTAACGTGTTTCTTCGATCTCAGTAATGCCTTTGATCGTGTATGGCATCAAGGCTTGCTGAAAAAGCTGAGCCACTACGGTGTCGACGGCAAGGCTCACAATTGGCTCGAAGCCTACTTGACAGGACGCAGACAGCGGGTGCAGGTTGAAGGCACAACATCCGCCTTCATACCAATACCAGCGGGAGTGCCCCAGGGCTCGGTCCTGGGACCACTTCTGTTCCTGGCGTACACCATTGATCTGCCCACTGCCTGTGAAAATGCTACAACCTCGTGTAGCCAGTTCGCGGACGACACCGCACTGACTGCCATTGCAGGCAGCTGCATTGAGTGTGAGGCTGCGCTACAAAGAAGCGTCGATGCCGCAGCAGAATGGCTAGAGCGCTGGCACCTGCTAGTCAATAAAACGAAAACCGTCATCCTCCCGTTCTACCATGCTAACCGACCCCCACCACGACTACCCGAAATAAAACTTGGCCAAACCCTACTAGAAACAGTAACACAACATCGTCACCTCGGCATCATCTTTCAGCACGACCTAAGATGGTCAGCCCACCTTGACTTTGTGCTAAAGAAAGCTGTAAAATCTTTTAATATTCTCTTTAGGCTCAAATCAACTCTACACACTAAATCACTCTCTCTCATTTACAAAACGTATATCCTGCCTATAATTGAATATGCATGCATTGCTGTCATCCCGCTCTCAATCGCAGCCCTTGACCGTCTTGAGCGAATCCAGCGCAAGGCGGCCAGAATCTGCCTCCGTCTCACCCTCTACACTCCTCTGGATCATTCAACACTGCTCCATCGGCTCAAATGGCCGACAATGTTCTCTCGCCGCAAAGTGAAGCTCACCCTTCTTGCTCACTCCATAAAATACCAATATGCCCCACAACACATACGCTTGCTCAACACCCCCGCTCAAGTTACGGCCCAGTACAGCCTTCGACACGCACGCACTTGGCACCTCCCACCCTCCAGAACCGATCGCTGTTAAGACTCCCCACTGTACAAGTCCCTAGAATACTACAATGCCCTCCCTGCTAGCATTCGTGACGTCTCCTCCCGACCTGCTTTCAAACAAGAAATCTGCTCACTGCTGATTAACTCAATCTGCTCCTGCAGCGCTCACCCTCTCCCATACTTGTAAAGTTCAAAGTGATGTAAATCACTTTCCAACTGTTTAACCCACAATCTCACCTTCTCATAAATTTATCTCTTATTAGCGATGGTGCCATCGTGGGAATAAAGAAGTCAACAACAACAACAACAACAACAACAACAACAACAACAACAACAACAACAACAACAACAACAACAACAACAACAACAACAACAACAACAACAACAACAACAACAACAACAACAACAACAACAACAATAGCATCATCAGCAGCAGCAGCATCATCATCATTTGAACAGCCTCTTGTACGGGCAAGCAAAAACGCAACACATCAAAATTCATATAGATCATCATCATCAGCAGCAGCAGCAGCAGCATCATCAGCAGCAAAAAGAAAAGCAACACTCTGGAGATGGCTGTCCGTCCCTGAGGGGTGCCGGGAATCGGGACTCCACGGTATGGCCGGAACCTCCCCGAGACGGGCTCGACCCCCCCCCCCCCCCAATGTGCACAGTGGCCAATGCAGAATTAGGCCCGCAACGTGGCCACGTACTATTGCCTAGGAGTGTGTGCGCGGCCATCAGCGGGTTCTTGGACACGTTGACACCTTCAGCCTCGTCCAGCATAGGTACCTGGGAAAAGCACACGCCATCAGCAGCAACAGCATGCAGCAGAGAACAGATCAACAAATTTAAAAAAAATCACATTTCACGGTAGACTCGTCTGAAGGCCGAGTTTTCCGCCGCCCTCTATAACAGAACAGAACAACAGAGATGAGAGCAGACTCCACTGCATCCATTTACACATTCGGGTATCTCAACTCAAACCCTCAAAACATAGTGTCTTTGCCGCATACGTCATCAACTGTTCACTAACAGTTGATGACGTTGAACAGCTGATGACGCAAGCAGCAAATACACTGACTGTACTGTGTTTGTGAGTTGAGGCACCCTAATGAGAATCACACACGATGAAATAAATAACAAGGCATATACGTACATGCCTACACACGTACCTCCACCTAATACACGTGGGTACATGCACGCACAAAGCCTCACGCACACCTTCACCGACCCACTCAGCAGGAATTACATCCACCAGCCATTCCAAATTATACCTATCCACTCTCCCACCATTACACCCACACAGACACCCACACCCAGACACACACACACAGACACGCGCGCACGCGCGCGCGCACACACACACACACACATCAGCACAGCCTACCTCCACATCCGCATTCTCCCCGGGTTTCCTCTGTACCGGTTCCTTGGTTATGTTATCACGGTGACGCACATTAGAAGTCTCCTCAACAATTTCCGTTTTGATGATTACTTTCATAATGTCCTCTAGTGTCACAATCCCTGCACAACAACAACAACAACCAATAAACTCTTCATAAAAAAATGTCACGGTTCCCGCCGAGTTTTCCACATCCGCAGGAACGCCACCACCCTCTTGGGTCAAGGCGCAGGTGCAGCTCTTCATTAGCATGGCTACTATTTTAGCACGCCGCAAAATTTAGATATCTCTTTATCCGATCCCCATACCTGTGTTTCTTCTTCTCATATTGGCAACAGGCCATTGTGAGAATATAAGGCTTCAAACAGCAGCAGCAACATCAAGAACAACAGCAGCAGTGGCAGCAGCAACAACAAGAGAATGAAGATTCGACAAACCAAAGTCGCTACTGCCACAACCAGAACCAGAAAAATAAGAAAGAGAGAGAGAGAGAGAGAGAGAGAGAGAGAGAGAGAGAGAGAGAGAGAGAGAGAGAGCGCACGCATGTGAGAGAGAGAGAGAAAAGAGAGAGAGAGAGAGAGAGAGAGAGAGAGAGAGAGAGAGAGAGAGAGAGAGAGAGAGAAAGAGAGAGAGAGAGGGACACACACACACACATACACAGACACACAGACACGCACTTACCGACAATGGCAGGGTACGAGTTTCGTTCACAATCGTTGTTAAGACGATGGACCAGTGCCATATGTGACACGCCGCTCCTAAACGCCTCGTACATGACATCCAGCTTGGTGTCTTCCGGAATGGATAAATCCTGCAACAAGGATCGTGCAACAACACAACACAGCGGCATGAGAACACAGTAAAAAAACTGTCAAGGCAAGCACTCTGATAGGAGAAGCTCCTGTCCCACAGGGGGACCACTACAACATGGACAAAGGAGTGGTTTTCCCAGTAGGGTTTCAATGGGCAAGGGTTTGGTCGCGTAACGACTTTGGGTACCAAATTTCCCCGAATGTAAGTCGCACCTTTTTACACTAAAATTCAAGGACAAAAAAGGGGTGCAACTTTCAACCGAGCGAGACTTACTACTGAAGTCAATATATCAAATCAATATTGCTCAAACCTGAAAATGGGGATGCGACGTATAATAGAGTGTGACTTATAAACGGGGAAATACGGTATTTCTATCCGGGTAGCACGGCTACTCTATCGGGTATTTTTTAAACATCGTTTGTACAGTGAGGGTGCACTTGCGCTACATAGAAAGTGTACAGTTAGCACGTAGCCGGTTTTTTTTACGTGCACAGTTGCAGTACCGACTCCAACTACCCGATCGGGTTCTCAGCAACCACCTGCACACAGGGGTCTGGATTTGAAGGTCCCGAGAGAGGTCGAGCAAGACAGGCTTCAACGCACAATCATGTGGAGAAAGACAACGCGCTTGCTGAGCAAGCAGCAAGAAATGGCAGCAGCATCGCCCGCAGCTGTTGAAACGAACACGTTCCGGACATCAACTCGGATCGTAGGACGCGCCTGGATCTCGCCCTGGGGCTCCGTCTACCAGCTACGCGAACCCGCGCCGGACGATCTCGCCCTGCCTCCCGAGGTAGTGCCCTTTGGAACGTCCTACCGGATGCAGTCAGAGTACTGTCGTCTCTCAGCAGCTTCAAAGCTGCTGTCGTACCGTATACACTCCGATCTTCCTGATGTTATGATTAGAAACTTGCCCTGAGACAGCTTCCTGTCTGTGATTGATTTTCACTGTTTACCATTATTATTTGCCATGGCCACCCCCGTAATTCCGTAACTGGCAGGGCAGGGTTGGGCCTTTCATCCTCCCGATGTTAGTAGCAAGTACTCTCGTTAGCAGTAACTGTTAGTACTTTGTTTGTTTTTTATTTTATTTTATTTTTTTATTTTATTTTATTTTCTCTATTTATTCTCTTTACCAGGCGTGGGCCATCCCCTGGACAAACAAAATGGGTGCCTTATTATTATTTTTCTGTTTCTGTTTTAATGACAGTCCACTGCACGCCTGAAAAAAAAGTACTTAGTTTATTAGGCGGGTTACAGAACTATCGACTTATCGTTCGCTGGCTTACTTGTAGTTTGATAACGCTTCGCTCTTCATTGAGATATCTACCATTCTCTCTTTTTCTCCTTATTTTCTCCCCAACCCTCTTTTCCCTGTAACATAATAACATATTCGCTGCCTTGTCATTGAGCATTTGTGCTCGTTTGGATTTGCGAATTCAAATAAAGTATACAAACAAACAAACAAACTCAAAACTCCCGGCCGCATGATGGATCTAGTCGGGGAAAAAAACAAAACGCTCATCGCCGACATTAGTACTGGCATCAGCAGCAGCAGCAGCCAGAGCAGCAGAAGCAGTAGCAGCAGCAGCAACAACAACAGCAGTAGCAGCATCAGCATCAGCAGCATCAACAGAAACAGCATCAACAGCAGCAGCAGCAGAATCAACAGAAGCAGCATCAACAGTTGCAAGCACAGCAGCAACAGCAGCAGCAACAGCAGCAACAGCAGCAGCAGCAAGCCCAGCAGCAACAGCAACAGCAGCAGCATTGTTGTACTGTATCATACACTTACCTCAAGTTTGTATGGCTTCATAATGCTAGACACAGGACAGTTGTCTTTCGGGTCCACAAAAATCAAGTCCTTCACAAATAGCATGCCTATGACTTCGCTCTTGTCTGTATGGCGGTACACTGGTATGCGCGAGTGACCCTTTTTCTGCATACACACACACACACACACACACACACAGACACACACACACACACAGACGCACGCACGGAAACCAGCATGACTGTATGCAGCTTCAGACTTTTTCCGTTCGCACCTTTCCCTTCAGAAACTCACAAGCTGTGCTTCGCATCCGCAGGCCACCACTACGCCTGTACACTAGCATACGAGGAAACACTGTTTCATTAGTCGCCGTAACGGCAGCTCACCTGGATCAAGCGGAGCGTCTTGCCGTTTAAGACGGTGTTATCGGCGAGCAGGAACATCTTAGCCTTGGGAGTCATGACTTCCGCTATGGTCTTCTTCTTAAACGCTAGCACTCCTTCTAACATCTCTACTTCATCCTGGTGGAAAGAGGAACACGACACGGCCATCGCAGCAGCACGCACACATACACAAGTACACACACACACGCGCGCACACACACACACGGAAGCAAACGAGCATAGCGACATCCTACAATTCAGTAGTGAACAGAGCAGATACCGTATTTCACCGGTTATAAGTCGACCCCGGCTATCGGTCGACTCCTGACTCCGGAGGTCATATTTTTGGTTTTTAAGTTTCACGCAAGACACAGACACACAGACACACAGACACACACACACACACACACACACACAGGGACACAAACGAAAGCAGATCAAGAACCCCTTACCTCAGCCATATCATGGTGATCACGCGTCACTTGCAAATACGTAATGAGCTCCTCGCGGTTTAACACACGACCAATCTCCCTTCCCAAGAACCGATCCAAAATCTTAGGAAACAAGAAACAACCACAGCAAAAAACATGTGAAGCGCTCCAATTCAAAACGAACAAGATAGATCCATTTTTGTGGAAATTTCAGGGAGTGCATTTTTTCATTTGTTCTTTTTCAGTCTGCAATGCAGCATCAATGACTTTTGTCGCGTTTAGCAGAAGAACACAAACTTCAGGAATCATTTTTACAGGGATGCATCGCGTTTTGACCCGTAAAACCGACACACAGACGTCCGTGGGGTGAAAACGAATTCTTTCGTGACAAAAAAACCGCAAAAGCTCCGGTTTGGTCTTTATCGCGTTTTGAATTGGAGCCCTTCATGTACATTCAGCGTGATTAAGGAGACTAGTAACTTGACCAAGGGGACCACTGGAATCAAGACCAATGACTGCCATGTCCAGGTGAACGCCATGCCACAAGAGCACCCATTGCACACACAGGGACCAACGTTATGCCTGCCTTGAACACCCATTGCACACACACAGGAACCAAGCTCATGCCAGTCTTGAACACCCATTGCACACACAGATCAAGGTCATGCCCGGATTGAACACCCATTGCACACACACACACACACACACAGGTCAAGGTCATGCAAGCCTTGAACACCCATTACACTCACAGGGACCTAGGTCATGCCTGCCTTGAGCACCCGAGATAAGAAGACTGAAGAAACTCACTCACGAGATGGGAATGGTTAGCGGGAAAGAAAGTCACGACCATGACCTTTGGGGGAAGTGCGCGAGATCGAAAGGAGGGGAGAGAGAGAGAGAGAGAGAGAGAGAGAGAGAGATAAGAAGATTGCAACTCACCCAAGAGATGGGCATGGCTAGCGGGAAAGTGACGATCATGAAGAAGCGCGTCAGCCATATGGTCTTGGCCCCGACGGCCAGGCCATAGCGCGAGCAGAAGCTCTGCGGGACAATCTCGCCGAGGACGACAATACCTCCGGACGAAGCTATCACGGCAACCAATCCGGAGCCAGTCAACGAGTCCAGCAGGTTTGTTAACGTTCTGTGAACAACAGCAGCAGCAGAAGCAGCATACACAACGAATATTTAATCTCCAGTGCACATTGCCAAATATGCATTGTATGAGTACATTGCATGTGAGTATGCTGGGACCAGCAATGCACTGTTCAACAGCCCACACGACCATGCCCAGGTGGCGGTGTGGGGTATTTAGAGAGAGTGTGTCGACACCAGATAAAACCGCAGGTAATGAGTGGAAATATCATGACTTTCCGCGCCTCAGATCCGAGCCACCCTTGTGCACTATTTTTGTCCCCTTGATTTTTTCATGGTGTTTTTGACCGAAATCTCCAATTTCCGAAGAGAAATGAGGCTGTGCAGCAGGAAATTGTCCAAATACCCCCAACTATATCTTTTTTTCCTGCTCAGTAGGGGTGTGGCTTGGTGCTGAAGATGCAAAACAGGGAAATGTTCGTACACATTTTGTTTGTTTAAAATTCATCACGTTAACAATGGGACTTTCGAGAGAGAAATTCACCGTCTGGGAAAGGTTATGAACGATAGCAGTGGTTGAAATGGCTGGAATTTGTTATGTACAATAGTTAGTCTGTACAAGAGGCCTGCCAGCAGGAACTAGAGCCCGATGGCTATGCAAAGCTACCTAAGAAAATAGACCCTACAGAGAAGTCAAACAAATATTTCGCAAAAATCCGATATTTTCCAGAGACCCATACAGGAAGAGAATCCCCAGACACCCCACCAACAAAACGTCATTTCTTTTTCCAAGCATACATGGAGAGATGCCGAAGACAACAAGACTAATCCTCATTCAAACACACACAAACACTTCCACCTGTCCATCGCTGAAGCGATGATAGCGAACAAGCTACGTTAGACATAGCAACTTATGCTGGGATTACAATTACACCAATCAACAGCTTGAAAGGCTGATGAATTGACGGC